TACGAACTAAGTACTACGCTAATAGTACGTAACGTACGTAACGTACTAACTTACTTACTAACTTAAATTAACTTACGTACGTTCGTCTACTTACTTCTACTATATATATATATATATATATATATATATATATATATATATATATATTATGTATTGTTTGAGAATTTGTTTAATGTCAAGGTAATTATAGTTCATGCTATCATTCAGTTTTTTTTCTCAATAGACATGCTATTATAGATTCACCAATATTGGCCACTGAAGATCGTGGAGATGGTTCCTATATATATATTGTTTTTAGAGAAAGTATAAGACGAGACCAATTTACTTTTGACACAGGGAGGTCACACTCATTCGTAGCTGTCAAATGTAAAATCAAATGGCCAAGAGTGTCATTGATTGTGCACAATGCTCAATAAAAATTTTCTCACACTTTGTGATTTTCAAATCTAATGGCTAGAAATGACTGTGAACTTCTTGTGCCAAAAATAAATGGTCTCTTAGTATACATTCCTTTGTTTTTATTTCGTAAAAATAATGGAAAAGAAGAGTGCATGCCCCAAAATATTGTGTGATATATATTAGCTGAGCTTAGCAACTCTCATTCATTATTACTATTAACATCTATCTGAATGTTACTAACATTCCTAAGCCACTTGACAGGGCATTGGTAATGGACTACCATTAGGAGCAGTAGTCACAACACCAGAAATTGCCAGTGTTATGGCTCAAAAAATACAGTTCAATACTTTTGGTGGGAATCCTGTTTGTTCCTCTGGTGGACTTGCCGTTCTGAATGTTCTCGACAAAGAGCAGCGCCAAAAGCATTGTGCTGATGTTGGTTCCCACTTAATTGAGCACTTGAAAGCACTACAGAAAAGTCATGAAAGTAAGTTTTGTTTTTCAATGCGTCTTGCTTCTTAGTAGTACGTCTTTATGAATGTGAAATGCCTTCGCCCTGGAGAGAGGTCTTGTAGAATTATGCATTTATTCCATTTTACTGCTTTGACTGTTAAATTGGTATTGAAATTTGTTTACATTTTATAATTGATTACAGTAGTCTTCTTGAAATATAGTTGCAGAAAAACTTTGTCAGGACGGGGGAAATCACCTCAGATATTGTTATAACCCTGTTTAAATTATGGGGAAAGCATTGTTCTGGCTTCTTCCCATATTCCTCTGTTTCTTAATGTTTTCACATTTTTATTGTCTTGTGAAATATATTGTCTGTGAAATATATTACTGGCGTAATACATTACTGCGTAATACATTACCTGCAAATGGATTGTCACTATTTGGGTAGTATTTAAATGCAATCTGAGAAATACATCGTTACTGTTGGCTATGTCGAGAATAAATATGGGAAATGCATTACCAACAATTTTGTTTTTTCTTTTTTAGCTTTATACCCAAAACATGGTTGAGCGTATAATCCCTATTAGTATGTAGCTTAAACTTTATCCCTATTAGTATGTAGCTTAAACTTTATCCCTATTAGTATGTACCTTAAACTTTATAATTGCATCAGGCATAAGAATTAGCCGCACCTTTTGTATGCTTTTGCATATTGACTTGGAGTCACATGTTTTCAAGATGTTAACACTGTGGAATAACATACTTTTATTATGATAAGCCATCATATTTTTTATGTTTTTTTTTTTTGTGCTAAAGCTTTTCGATCATCTCTCTCCATAAAACTTCTATGGGAGAATTCAAAAGGAAAAAAACTTTGGAGAAATTTGGCTAGTAATTATGATGTATTGGAAGAGAAATTATGTTGGGGCATTGGAGGAGATTGAAGTGGTAAATTAATTTAAAAAGTTTTGAAAAAAAAAAAAAAAATTTTAAGCACACTGATTTGACGATTCTATTTGAGTGAACTCAAATATTTCGAATTTATTAACAAACAATAACAGCAAAAAAAGAAAAACTAAAGCCCAAAAAATAAACAAAGTGATATTAACAGAGAACCCAAAAATATAAATCTTCTATAGCTAGAAATAAACAATAGGGCTGCCGTGTTTTAGTTGCTAGTTGAAGAAGATGGGGCTTAACGGCTAGTTGAAGAAAGATCGGAGAAAGATCGGGGTGCTATGTGATTTTTGAGATTTAAATATATGTGATTCGGTTTGAAAAGGGAGCTATTGGTTACTACGTGAGGAGATTTTTTTTCGTGGTTTAGTAGTAACTAGAATTTTTTTGGTAAAAAGACGCGTGAAAGATTTCCCCATGTTAATAATAGATTTACTAATTTTTTGGGAAATCTCGGCTAAATAGATTTACAGGAAATCGTGGGTAATCTTTTTCCATTTACTTTGTGATAGATTTCCAGGTTCCCAAACGCCCTTTAATGTTTTTTTTTCAGCGAGCTCGTCATACATTTTCAGATGCTCATGATTTTCTATGTACTCTCTACATTTTTTTTGTTTGCTACTCTTTTGGGCTCTCAGTTCCTGAATCGGTTACTCTAGTAGCCTATGTTTATGTTGTGTATTTTTACCATTTCCCCTAGCTTCCCATTTGTTTGACATGTTTATTTCTCGACTACATTTTTTTTTTTGTCTGCTACTCTTTTTGGCTCTCAGTTCCTGAATCGGTTACTCTAGTAGCCTATGTTTATGTTCTGGACATTCTTGCCGTTGAATACAGGCACCACGAGTGCTTGACTTCTTATTAACATGGTCATATGATCGGTTACTCTAGTAGCCTATGTTTATGTTCTGGACATTCTTGCCCTTGAATACAGGCACCACGAGTGATTGACTTCTTATTAACATGGTCATATGGTAAACTGTAAAAGAAAAGTAATTGTATTTCTGCTTATGATACTGAATTTAGACACTTGGCACCTTTACTATTATTAGGGAAATTTATCTACCTACCTATGAGACATGCATTATTTAACATTCTTCATGTTTGCACCTATTCCAATACATAATCCTGTGTTGTTTATGGGTATTTTGGAATCAAACTACATGGCTAAAACGTTAAATAGTTAATTTCTTATAGGTATTTTAGTATAAAAAAATAATAAAAATCTCATATAGCTATTTTGATAAATTTTCCCAATTATTATTATGCATTGCATACTTTGATTTCATAATTTAAGGATTTTGTTATTTGGCAGAACTTTTGTGAGTTGAATTAAACTGAGATGTTATAGTGGTTTATGTTGCAGTCATAGGCGATGTAAGAGGAAGGGGGTTGATGATCGGGGTTGAACTTGTGACTGATAGGGAGCTTAACACCCCTGCAAAATCCGAAACTACAGCCATATTTGAAAAATTGAAAGGTGACTAATTTGGCCGTGACATCTCTCCAAGATTTTATTCTCACGTTGGTACTTAAAAATTTGAGCAATGTAAATTGAGCAATGTGGTTCGGCTTGCAGATTTGGGAGTGCTGGTGGGTAAAGGAGGCTTGCATGGAAATGTCTTCAGAATAAAGCCACCCATGTGCTTCACCAAGGAAGATGCAGGTACTACTCTCTCTTCCTTGTATTTTCGTTCTTTACAAGGCTCTTCAAAGCATTCCATATGTATGAATTGTTTTCTTCTATTAATTTTGATTTCTTTAATAAGTTAAATAAGTGTAACTTGTTTTTTTTTTTTTTTTTTCTCTTTATGTGCAAGCAGATTTCTTGGTAGATGCCATTGACTATGCTCTTTCTGGGATGTGAGGGAACCATCATCGACATGCACTCTTCAAAATTCAAACCAAATAATCATTAGTGGCGTGCACTCTTCACAGTTCAAACCAAATAAAAAAAATGTTTGTAACGTGGACTATTTTTTTACCCTCAAATTTTGGTGATGTGACCTTTTCAACTCATGTTTTTAACTTGACAAAAAAAATTTGCATTATCTTTAGACTTCAAAAGAATAATGCCTCAATATTTAATAGAAATTTTTGGAGAACGAGATCTATGTATTAGAAAACTCAAAATTCACATTTTTTTTTTTTTAGTATAATCGAGTGTTGAATGGAAATTTTTGAAGAATGAAATCTATGTATTAGAAAACTCAAAATTCACATTTTTTTTAGTATAATCTAGTGATTTTTAGGTGATTCCCTGATCTGAGATCAAAAAATTCTTCTCAAGTTAATCTTCTACTTGGGGGAGTAAGTTTACAATGGAGCGTGGTATACTCAGATCTCAAATGGTTAATTAGTTGAGTGTATTTTGATGAAGTTAAATGATGTAAAGAGCGCGTATGCTCTGCTCCAGCAGGAGCATAGTATATAGCTACTCCCTTGGTTATTGTGCTCCTGTGGGAGCATTATTGTACAACTGCTCGCATGGTCAAAGACCTACTTAGGAGAAATTTTTTTCAATCTGAAATTTTTGGAACTACCTAGGAATCACTAGATAATGGTTCTCCAGAGATGAATTTAAATTTTGGGTTTTCTAACTCTTAGATCTCAGCCTTTAAAAATTCGACAGGATATATTCACAATCTTCAGATTTTTTTTAGTGCATAAATGATGCAAGTAGGAGTTTTTTTTTTATTGATGTTACGGTTGAAGAAGTTACATCCCATAATCTGGGGCCCTAAAATTACGGGAAATTTATCAAATTATTAACGAGAGATTAATAAATTAATATTTTAAGAGAAATTATTGCTAATACATCTTGACGTTAAGAAAATTGTAAAAAAAGAAAAAAAAATCAAACTTTCCAAAACGTCACCTACACTTTTTTTTTTTTTCCAAATTTCAGCATTTTCCGGATGAAAATACCTTTTAAGGAAGTCTTTCTACCATAATGCATTGCGACCATTACGGTGATTAAAATATTGTTGTAAATAAAAATAGAATTACTGTACTTTTAGTACCGTAATAACGTGAACATCTATTACGTTATTTTAATTATGAGTATTACGGTAATTAAAATACTGTAATATCTTAAAGTAGTATTACGGTAATTTTATTACCGTAATATTATTTAATTCAAAACAAAATATTTTCTACTCTCTCGAGTCTACTATCTAGTTGTATTTTTTAAATCTCTCTCAGAGTTTACTCTCTCGTGTCTACTATCTATGCTACCTGTATTTTTTACGTATCAAATTTTTAGGGTATAATCTATACTTAATTTTTATATGGTTCTCAAAAGTTTAGAACAACAACACCTTTAAATAAGTGTTTTTGAGCGAGGGAGTAGATCCACATCATACTTTTATGGGACCATGGGATATTAGCTTTGGTTTTAAGCTCTTAAAGTATTACGGTAATAAGAATTCCGTAAAGTCAAAGTCAGAAGTATTACGGTAAGAATATGTAAAGTAATACTTTAAAAGCTTCAAACCAAAGTTAATATCAGGACTACCCCTCTCTCTTTTTAAAAAATCCATGTTCTTATAGGAGCACGATGTGGATTTACTCCTTCGCTCAAAAATACCTATTTAAGAGTGTTTTTGTTCTAAAATTTTGAAAACCATATAACAATTAAATAGAGATTATATCCTATAAATTTGAGATTTGAAAAATACAGCTAGCATGGATTTTTGTCGAGGGAGTAAATAGATAGTCGACTCGAGAGAGTGGAAAATCTTTTGTTATGAGGCTTGGGCAATATTACTGTAATTAAATTACCGTAATACTACTTTAAGGTATTACGATATTTTAATTACCGTAATACTCTATGTTATTACGGTAATTAAAGTACTGTAATCGATGTTCACGTTATTATGGTACTAAAAATACCATAATTCTACCTCTATTTATAACGGTATTTTAATTATCGCAATGCATTACGGTAGAAAGACTACCGTAAAGGGTATTTTCGTCTAAAAAATGCCGAAAATTGGGAAGAAAGGTGTGGGCGAGGTTTTAAGAAGTTAGGGTTTTTTTTTTGTGATTTCCTTAAAATTAAAGTATATTAGCGATAATTTCCCATACTTTATTCATATCTTTTGATTTAATTTCGAAATACCCATAAAAACACATAGTCATGGGATGGAATAGTTCTTAGAGTAAATTGTTAAATATTTCATTTCTTGTGGGTATTTTGGTAAATTTTCTAATAATTAATCGTATATAAAGTTTTACCCCAGGAGTAAATGGGCAATATACTCTAGCATGAGCATAATATCTATTGGCTAATATTAAAGCATGAGGGCCTGGCATTGTGAGGCGTACATAATTCAATGGAGAATGGTTCCAGGTACTCCAAAGGGCATCCGCACCCATTCTTGTGACAGACAGCAGAGATCAACTGTAGTGTTGCACATTGTTACCATACAGCATACTCCATTGGATTATAATGCACTTTTCCTTGCTGATAATCTGTGTATGTAGATGGCTAAATAAGAACCTTGTGGAGTTGTGGGGCGTGCACATGTGGGACCTGCCAGCCCATGGACCGGATCGGGACACAATTTGAAGGCCCATCAAGGAAATAAGTGGGGACATGGGCGACATGGGCTTTGAAGCTGAAGCCGGTTAGGCCTTTATGGCCATGGTACCAAAAATCAATAAATGATATTACACATCTTATTATAAATCCTAAAGGATAGGAAATCATCGAAAAAAGGATATCGGCAAAGATTATATGCTCCCATGGGTGCAAACTGTACAAGTGCTCCCTCAGATGTAAAGCTAACTAGAAGTGTTTTTTTTGCATCTCATGTTAAAAAATCTTAATGTTTACGTGATGAATCCTAAACTTAACAACAAGGTGGTTACTTCGTAACTTCACAAGAATCCTAGTACCTTCTCAAGAATTTTGGTATCCCAAAGTTGCTCTTGTTTTGGATTTATAATCCTAAGCAAATGAAGGTATTTTGATAATTTAACCTACTCAAGTCACTTGTAAATAGCATTGTTTATTTAGATTACATAACCCGAACATTTTTTATTAAAAATAATAAATCTGTTTTTGGGTTCCGAACGTGGAACATAACAAATATATGTTCTAATTGAAGTGATCAAATTATCAAAATGCCCTTCATGTGGACAGTTTTAACGAAGTTCTTGAGAAGGTGCCTATATGAAATAATTTTTTAAAGATAACTTATAGGTAAAATTATTTATTTAACCAAAAATAGGCTCATTACTAGATGGTCACGGTAAGTAGGCGCCACAATGTGATGTCTCAATTTCCCATCCTACTGGCAGGGGACACTTCCCTGCTAAACAACCAAAAAACAAAAAAGATTATTGATTTAACCACCTTATTGATTTTGAGTTATTCCAACTACTTTTTTGATAAATTTTTTTCTTAATTATTCATCTTAATATATAGTGGATCACAAAATATGAGACCAAGGAAATCCTCCTAAGCATGCATTCTGCTCCCTCAAGTGTACAATTTGTTCCAAAAAGAATTTGTGCCAAACAGAGCATTACACTGTGCCGAAAATACATAAACACAAAAGGGAAATGTTTCTATGTGATCCCAACCACGTATAAGTAAACATGTGACCCCACTTCTTAGTTGTTTGATCCGAATCACTTCTTAGTTGTTTGATCTGAATCAAACGGCTATGATTGTTCATACCACAATGCCATGTACACTGTTTTATCTTTTATTTTTTCTCCAGAAAATATTTTTTAATAAAATTTTGGGCAACTGTTTTGAAAATTAGGGCGAACCAGGAAAAAATATGAAAAAATTATTTTATATAAAAATAAATGATAAAAATGCCCCTGAAATTTTCAGATGCATTTTGGTGATCAAAATGATCACCATAAATATTTTTTTTAATATTTTTATCATGTGTGTCCTTGTTAGATCTATACATGCCCCAAATTTTACTTGAAAATTATTTGAAAAAAAAAAAAAAACTATGAGCTGTCTGTTTAAGATCTAACGATTGAGTATTAGGTTGACATTGTGACTCAAGCCATCTCAACCATCTATTCAGATCTGATGGCTGAGACTAGAGGTCATATATACTATATATGTGTGTGGGGTCACATAGAAAGCTCTCCCAACACAAAATGCCCCCATCAAATTCGTTATCTTTTGGGTAGTTCATCTGCGGAATGAACTACCAAAAAGAAAAAGAATTGAATGGAATGGCAATCTTAAGGTAAATTACATTGCAAAGCACAGGTCTGAAGGACTTTGATCCCATGTGAAAACAAAGATAGAAAAAAATATGAACATTGAATAACCCCAGGGACTGCTAAAATAAGTTCTGGATTGAAATTAACAAAAAACTAAACAAAAGTCGGTGAATGTCATGTATTGATGAAAATTTACAATGGAGCATTACAGTTTTGATACCTCATGAACCATTTCTTGGTGCTGCAAGGAGTAACTGCCAGTACATAGCTAAATGACACACATGAATGGGACCTCCTCCTTTTTTCTGGGGGGAAGTTCAGAACTTGGATAGCTAAGTGAAACACATATGGATGGAACGCCTTGCTTTTCTGGTTGGGTTGGGAGAGAGTTCAGAACTTGGAGAGAGAGAGAGTTCCACGGGCTGGAAGGAACAAGAGGGCACTCCCATCATATCGAGCTTCTAGTCTTAACGCACTTGTATGCCACCATTAGGCAGCTTTTATGTTTCCTTCACAAGCTCGTCAGCTGGAAATGTAAATTTTCTCAAGATTAGTCCAAAGCCATGAGAGAGGGAGAGAGAGAGAGAGAGAGAGACTTATTTCTCAAGTAGGACCAGCATACCAAAGCCGAATACTCCACTAATGTCTCAAACCAGGTTTATAGAACTCATAAACCTTGCAACTTTTTAGAAGTTGAGGGATGCTTAATCCCATTCCACACCGACAACGGGTTTTCCCCTATCGCAATAATATATAAAACTCATATCCCCATGAGCTTGAGGTAGGAGCCAGAAAAGATACTTTAAGAACATAGAATAAACATTTAAACATCCTAAATAGTAACTTAAGTCACCAAGAACAATATTTACAAGATGAACAACCCAAAAACTGTTTCAACAGTTAACATTCAGCATCTATGGATTAAAAAGGACCACGAATTTTCAAAGGGTTTTCTTTTCTTTTCTTTTTGGGGTCAGTAGATTCAAAATGATATTTCAAGGAATATATCTCTAATACTAAGGAGAGGACAATCAGTAGGGAGGCTGAAAAAGCAAAAACCAGTCTATTAAATGAAACAGGGATGCATACCCCTCATTTGGCCTGGTGCATATTGAACAACTGCATCATCTGGTAGGGCTTCAACATAATGGCCCATGGTGGACTCTCTCGATATTCTCCCGTATATAACATGGGTCACTGAAGCACAGAAAAAAATGAAGAACTAATCAGGTTAGCAAGAAACCCAGCATAATCCTAAAAAAATAACAAATGATACCTACAAGAACAAGAAAAGAAGGATGAACTTAAAAAATGCTTAAAATAGATAAAATTAGAATAAGAAGGATGCACTGTACTGTAAAAGAAAAAAATCTTACTCTTGTCAACCCGTCTTAGCTTTCTCCGATGCCCATTGCCAGTCACAGTAGATTCTAAGTATTGTTCACTATTATTATTTGCACCACTATTTCTCCTGCCATCAACAGCCTCTCTCTCTTGATTTCTCTTTATTTCGGAGAAAACAGCACTGTCACCCATTCTTTCAACAAGTGCGAGAGTGGGATCACAAGTATCTGAAACAACGATTTCCCTTGCACTCTTCAGCTCCTTATCCAATCGATGGATTGAGCGTGAGGCACTTTCCAGCCTTGCAAAGTCTTGAGGAAGAGTTTCAATAATATGATGCAGGGTCCCAACCAAAGAAGCCCACAGATTCAATGAACTTGTACTGTTTATTTGAGAAGTAGTAGATGTTGGCGGGCTCTCTAAACATAGGTATTTGGGCGTTTTCAAATGAACATTCCACACCATATACAACTTAGCAATATGCTCACAAGTAGATGCACAAATAGGAACCCCACAATCACACAAAGAATACTCTGAACCCGGGTTCCACAAAGTGAAATACTCTGGATGCCCCCCTAATTGGTTATGAACTTTTGCGATATGAAAACATAAGGAATCCCAAACAACATCCCCATCTGGGATTTTCAAAGCATTTTGCCAGGCATTGTTCTGCAAATGCTCAGTTGCCACAGTTCTACAGAGCCCATTCTTCTTTGCATATTGACCATACCAGTAGTATGAATGTACCTCTTTCATCAGCCTATTGATAAGCCAGTCAAGTCTAGTTTCAGATATGTTTCTGGCCTCTGGTCTTTGTTCATTGAGGCCTGAATGATAATATGGTAGAGCTCCATTCACCTCATGGCTAGGATGTGCAAACTCCCTTTTCTCACTAAACCAACGACCTGGTAAATTGAAATCTAGCTCCAATGAAAATCTAACAACACAGATTCTAGGATACCATATGACATTCTAATAACACATACACACAATGGTGTGCGTCTCTCTATGTGTGTACAGCCATTTTTCATGAATAAACAAATGGATGACAGAAACTATAATGATTCCAACAAACCCAAATTAAAAAAATGCTTTGAAAAAATCAAATCGGAAAACTGTTGAACAATCTAATCGAGTAATTGAAAGACTTGTTACAAAGAGGGGGACAAAATTACACTATTTAAATAAATAAAATCCTTCAGAAGGGGTTTCTAAGTTTGATGAAAGCTATTTTCACAAACCCACCATGCTCAGGTCAAGGTATTATGGACCAATTATAATACTTATGGTTCAGTGAAAAGGGTTCACTACAAAGAAACAAAGCATCTATGTGTGGATGCATGTGTGCATATGTATATGCAATTTAACTCACAAATTTGGGGTATCCAGTACTCCTCAAAATATGACAAGAATGTCATCTCCATAGCGAAGATAACCTTAAACTTTGCAAAAGATTCCATAGCATGTTCTTCGGATGTCGATAAGCGCAAAATTTTTCCAAGTGCACAATACATTTCTGCACGAAGTGCTACATCATATACATCCTTAGAAAGCCTCTCAAGCCAGGACCTTCGGACCCGCCAAAGGGATAAAGGCAACCGACAACCGAATATGTCACTGAGAATAAAGGAAAAACCAAAAACCATTACGAAAAGTGTGGACTATTCCTCATAAGTTAATGAATTTTCTTTAGAGTGTGGCATCATTTTTTTTTGTAAGTTTCAGCTTTGTAAATTGCATCACCAAATATTAACAAAGTTTGTAACCTTACCAAAAGTTTCATTTTAATCATAAAGAATCCAGCTAACCTGATAGTTTCACGGCATTGCACGGATTCATCAATTAGAAATGATGCCACACTCCAAGTTGCATCTTTTTCAAGAATGCGCTTCTTCAGAGCAGTGAGCCAAGTAAACATAACTTCTTGTGTCACCTCCTCTACTATAACCCATGCAACAGGAATCCCAGTCTGTTGCGAATCAAAAGCTAGTACTGTATAAACAAAGTACTGTTACACAAAGGACATGAATTTAGGAAAAACATGAGAAAAATGTAGTCGTAAAATATCCACAAAACTAGAAACAGGAATTTACACCTTAGAACAGGTCAGATCACAAGTGGAATCCAGGAAGAGTTCGCTTCTGTTTCCAAACCGGACTAGTTGTTCCAACTGCCAATGTGTCTGCAGTCCCAAGATGAAAGAAAATTGTTCATCCTTGCGAAAAATAAAAACATCAGAAGGGTTCTTTGCCACCCATTTTCCCACACTTCCATTACCGTTTGGGTGTAACTGATAGCCAATTCCATTTGAACGTCTAGCCAAGTTCTGTACATCTCTTAACTTCAAGAAATCATCACGGGTTGCTTCCCTATTTGGGTCCCTTCCATTCTCTTGATTTATATAATGTATATGCTTGTCATATATGGTTTTATATGATAGGCCCATATACAATAATGAATATACCCAATGTTTCTTTTCAGAAGACAAATGCATTGCATGGAGAGGCCTTTTACCACCAGATGAGATATCCTCTGGGCCATGACAAGGTAAGCCATTCTTATCGACATGCCTTCTCTCAACATATGTGATAAGAACATCGGATGGTCTTGCAGCCAATTGCTTGCAAATGAAATGACAAGTACAACCCCTCTTTTTTCTCTCACGGTTGGGTCTATGCTTGTTGTGTTCAGGGTGGATCATTTGATCTCGATAATCAGCACCACCATATGAACACCAATATCTGAAAATACCAAATAATTCTAGAAACATGTTAGAATATAGAGTATGCTTACTTCAATAATAGATGGACTTAAGGTTCAAATTTTTGGATTTCAAAAGAGTTGCATTAGGGTGATGAGAACCATAGCCCAGACTTTCAACCACATTGCACCCATATCCCATACTAGGAGTACTTTTTCAATTAATGCATAGGAAAAAGTCAAAGGTTTTGTAAATTTTATTCAAAATTCAGTTCAGCTAAGAATAATATTAGATATTAATTCGAACTTATGGAACTAGAAATGTAAATAATTCATTCTGAATTTAGGGGAATTTCAGCTGAGAACTTATATAATGGTGTCTTGGCATTAGTTGCAGATTCGCCTCAGTTTATGTCCATGAGAAGAAAAAAATATTTGTTAATTTCTTCTCTTTGGTTGGTGAGTGCTTTTGAGATATAAATATATCAAAAGTGGACGTGAGATAACATGTACTAACAAACATATCAAAAGCATGTGTGAGATAAAGATACTAATACACATTTTTCTATCCATATTAAAAGTGGTTGTGAAAAGAACAAAGAACACTTCTAGGATGGATGACCCCATGTAAAAACTTTTTCCGGCACCCAATTCTTTCCAATGAAAACAAAAACAGCCCACTATATGTAAATCGTTCAAAGTAGATTGACCAGAAACAGAAAATGGATGCCCTATAGAAATCGGAGGCATATTCATTACACATACGTGCATGAAACTAGGGATCTGTGCTCCAATGTCACACTTGCTGTGTGTAAAGGTTGCTTAGAGCTCTTTGTTCGGGCAAAACTTGTAGAACACTGTGAAAGGCTTGACTCCCCGCAAACAAAATCATCCATCCTATCGTACGGAATAACTGCCACATCAACTGGAGATTTCCCACGATTCATAGTATACCATGTCAACTGAGACGAGTTGAAATAACCCTCTGGTAAATTTTGAACAGGCAGACTGAGAATAAAAGATTTATTTGTATCCTTTCTTGATGGATTCGAGACCTGAATATAGCAGACAAAATATGATTCATAATTAAGAGAAAAGAGGAAGCATGAACTAAATAAAATAGCAATACAAACGAAATACATCATCAGCATGCTCCATATGAAAGAGAAGGTAGAGCAGTAATGGAAGAGAAGAGGAGTTCATTGTCTGCTCACTAGATTGGTTTACAAAGAGGTAAAACTCGGGAGAATCTAATTGAGAACTAGTCTCCACTAAGAGCTTTTAGTTTTAGTCTCCATGAAGTAATTTAGTCTACATTGCAGTATTGCTAAAGACCCAAAATTTATTCATTACATCCAATGTTCCTTATTCTCGCACACCCTAACAATCGATGAGACAATGAATAGATCAATTTCTCATAATGATAATTACACTTTTTAACATTCAGATTTTATAACTAGTTCACAAGAGGATCCAAGATGTGATTGTTATCCTTCAGTTGCTAGATAAGTAAATTAGCAATGGCTAGATATGTATAAATCATAGCTCACTACAAATCTCAATGCATTTAATGTCGACGATGTTCGAAAATTAACACGGCACAAAATTGAAAATTAAGGTGGCAAAAAATTGATTCATTTGAGCATAAGATGAATGGTGTCCATATTCCATGGTCTTGAAGTTTTCGATTATGTCAATATCAGTTCTGATAAAACTTAACATTCCATATGAACTTCACGAAGAAAAACAAAAATTTATGAGCATAGCAATCTGGAAATTATATCAATATAACATGAAATGATCAGTATTCCTGTGCTAGAGAGAGAGACAGTGCAACGGTAAAAAAAAAAAAAAAACCCAAAAATTGCAATTACATTAACCCTGTCCAGCGATGGAAACTGATTGTCCAAATCCATGAACACTCTAAAGCAATAAATTGATCACGGAACTTTCTCTGGCTGAAAAAGACTTACCTCCATAATTTAGATAGCTTAGATGGCTTCTGTCTTTTTGCCTTCAATTTTGTCTTCATTGGGGTATAATAGTGGGAAATATGAACTCTCTCGTTTGGATTATTAAAGAAAGGAAAGCTTTCAATGTTCCCTACAATATAGAAGTTCTATCCGCCTTTTATTATCCAGCGGTTCATTTTTTATCACGGAGTTACTTCCCGTTTGATTTTAGATCTAATATTTCAAAGTATTTTTTTGAAGATAAAATTATGTACATGCCATCTTTTTATTGGGACGCGCCTATATACAATATTAACAATAATTTTTCGATAAAAAATAATAACTAAAATACTCATTGAAACTTTAAAGGATATTTTGATCATTTATTTTATTGAATTTTTTTTTATATATATTTTTAATTAGTGTGAGTTTAATAGAGGAATAGACGTCCAAAATTTGGTATCAAAACAGTTTATAGAAAAAAATTAAAAATAAAACAGTGTAGAGGCATGACATTGTGAATGTTGAGGAAACCTTAACCCTCCATTAAAAAATAAACGGTTGAATAAGGAGGAGGATAGAACTTCTATATTGTAGGGGAACTTCAATAATAGGAAATTCCACTTCCTTGCACTTAGGCTCTTATTCCCTTGCTGATATGTAATATGTAAGAGTATATATATATATATATAAATAAGTAATAATCCAATGCTACGGTTGTATCATAGTATAATGTAACGACACTTCTAGAAAATTATGTTCGTGGTATTTGTATGACCCCAAATTTTACACGCACTCTCTTTTCATCTCAATAATCAATCCCAAAAAAAACAAAAGTTATATTTGAACCCTAGATATGGTCAAAATTAGTCCCTTTCAAAAACGAATCTAGACAATTTATTTTGTGAATTTCAAGATCTTAACATTTATAAAATAAAATCATTTTTTTTATTTTTTAACATTGCTCATCTAATGATAATAAAACCATTCAAAAAAATTGGAAATGAAAAAATCCTTGCAAGGCCCAGATCTAAGCATCTAACCAAAATGAACGGTTTATGTTAATTGGGCTAAAAAAATACTTTCTAAGTTGTATTTTCAATTTTTTATTTTTTTGTGATTGTTCATTAGAATGAAAAGAGTATATATTTCAAAAATTGGATCAAACAA